CTGAGTAACAGTTCTGTGTCCCTGAGTAACAGTTCTGTGTCCTGAGTATCAATTCTGTGTCCCTCAGTAACAATTCTGTGTCCCTCAGTAACAATTCTGTGTCCCTCAGTCAACAATTCTGTGTCCCTCAGAAGTAACCAATTCTGTGTCTGTCCCTGAGTAACAGATTCTGTGTCCCTGAGTAACAATTTCTGTGTCCCTAAGTAACGATTCTGTGTCCCTAAAGTATCTGTGGCCCTAACTCTGTCCCTAATACAGAGAGGTCTGTCTCTCTTGAATGACTGGAGGCAAATGGAGAAATTGTAAGATGACCGCAATTTATAGCTCCACCATTACACAGTGCTGGCTGGCTGCTGATTGGCTAATGCGATCACATGTCATACGAATGAATGCATTATGGGTCAGCGCGCCTTGTCTGCGCGCGCCCTTCCCAGAGATCCCCGCTCCGTCGTCACACATGTCGCCGCCATTTTTGGAAAAAAAATTTCAATTCGCGCAATCCGAAGTATGCTAATTTTCGGATTCGGCGCGAATCGAATTTTTCCTAATATTCGAACGAATTCCACTTCGCCAAGTTCGATTCGCTCAATCTCTAGTCATGATATGGGTGGTGTACAGTATCGCAACTCTCTGGAACACTCTGGAAAATCTTTTTTTTTTGTTTTGTTAACTGGATACAGTTGCTTTAGACATTCACTAAACATTATAAAGGACTTTTATAAAACTTTTTTAAAGAGCTTGTACTTTTCTCCAAATTACATATATTTTATAATACATCCATTCACTGTTTTAAGATTAATACATTTGTGTGGATTTTTAGGAAAACTGTATACATGGTCTTGTTATATTTTTCTATATAGTTAACACTGTACTGTTGTTATGGTCCACAGTCTCTAGCACAGGCATATATAGACATGTGCACATATTAGGGGCAATTTTGGATGGAAGTCGATTACCCAACCATTACCTTTTGCAGGGGTGGTAACCAGATCACCTGTTGGAAACATTTTAGGTTTCTTTCATTGCAAATTCCAAATATGAAGGAAATAACCTCAAAAGAGATAAAAAAAACAGAAAAAAAATCTTACAGCAATCATTTTAATCAAAATGGTCTTTCATGTTTATGCTTCTAGATATGAAATACATTACATTATTTTTCATATATATTTGCCAGTTTTTTCAGTACGTCTTCAGTATTTTTTTTGCAAGAAATACTTTTATTGTAGCCGGTAAAAAGCCAGCACTCTTGCTTAATACAGTTACCTTCACATCTGGTCGCCAAAGAGTCACTCCGTCATCTTGCAGCCTGCTAATGAGGTCCCTCATTTAATTAATACCATAAGAATTTTAATTTCTGACTGAATCAATTTAATGTGATGTGATTTTGTCAGCTCTATTCCCCCAAGTAAAAAGTGAGCCTGATGCTTATTACATACATCATTTCATGGGCTCTGCATTCCCTGCTGACTTAAACAAATTCTAATTAAGACTAATTAAAGCATCATTTATGAAAGCGCTTGTGATAGCTATGCAAACATTCTGGTTGGGTGTGCTGTGCATAGTAATTACCCTAGTTAATATTAAGGCTGGGTCCTTAGCAATTAGGTCTTCCAAAAGAAGGGTTTTATGCAGAATTTAGCCTTTTTCAGGGATAATAATTAATAAAAAAAAAGAATGTTTTAAATACATGTTAGTGTCCTGATTAATGAAACCCATTTAGAAAATTTAAGAATGTTTGAATATTTTGGGGGGGAAAAAAATCTAGTTACTTAATTTATGACGAATGATTAAAATACAGCTTTGGGAGCATTTATCATCCCAAACAATATTTGTAAGGCAATATGATAAATGGTGTACATAGCATATATTTATTTATGGTAGTGTTTACTATAAGTGTGGGTTTTTATTTTTTTACCTAGTCCCTGTTAATCTTTTCCACATTTTCCTACCTGTGACAAATTTTACTTTTCATCTTTTTTTTTTTTAATTTGCAATATTTTTAATTTACCTATTTAATGCATCTTCAGTTTCCAATGTAATTTATATTTATGCAACTCCCTTTTTTTTAATGGTTGTCATGGTTAATCTGCTCACAAAAGAGTCGTAAAGTGTACAAAACCAAATTGCTGCTAGAAGCAGGCGGTAACTACCAATAAAGTATGGAGCAGCTCACAGCAGCCTTAGGATTTGGCAGTGCAAGCAATCTGATAACTTAGTCCAGCGACCTCACACAGAATCGATGAAAATTGTAGATTGAAAAGTATTTAAACAGACTCTGTCACTCAGATTAAATAAAAACATAGAAGCAGCACCCTGCAAGCATATTCACCTTTCAGGAAGGCGGTGACTGAAATCTTCGCTCTCTTACAAAACTCCAGGTGCCGCTGCTATCCATATTTTCAGGTGTGTCCTTGCACCAACCACATTACTAAAGAAAACAGCAAAGGTAATTAAATTAAGTAACAAGGTGTTGCTGCTTTGGGATTTTTTTTTTGAGTGACACGATCACTTCGGTGTGCCAACCTACTAGATTGAAATTCACTGGCACGACACCCAAATTTTACTTGCACAGCTAGGTTTTTACTGGCATTTCTAAAAGTAAAAAAATACAGTTTTAAGTGCAAATGTCAGTATTTAGGCTACAAACAAGTACAATATGCAGTTAGCACTGCTTCCCGACCGCTACAGGGCGGCACAGGTGCGCAAAAATCATGTATATATACACGTGATTTCATATTTCCGGGTAGGGGGGCGCGCACGCCCTACCCGCACCGCCATTTGTGGCCGCGGCTGTCAATCATCGGGTCCCGGCCGGTGATTACTCGCTGGCACTTAGTGATTGCCAAGCATCTCCGACGAGGAGGAGAACTGTATGTCAACAATATAGTTCTCCTCCCTGTCACCTCGTGCACACTGCTTTGCAAAGCAGTGTGATTACAGTGAAGCACAGACACACAACACAAGTAAAACAGTACACAGCACACAGTTAACCCTTTGATCGCCCCTCATGTTAACCACTTCCTGCCCAGTGCCTTTAGTACAGTGTCAGGGATTATTTTTAGCACTGATCACTGTATTGGTGTCACTGGAGATGTCAGCGACACCAAGTAAGTTCCCCCCAGTGTCAGAATGCCAGTCACAGTGCCACAGTCCAGCTATAAGTCGCTGATCGCTGCCATTACTAGTAAAAATAAAAATTCCAGTATCTATACCGCCATTTGTAAACGCTATAAGTTTCATGTAAACCAATTAATATACATGTATTGGGATTTTTCTTAGCAAAGACATGTAGCAGAGTACATTTTGACCTAAATTTTTTTACTGGACATGTTTATTAACAAAAAGTCAAAAATATAGTTTTTTTTCTCAAAATTGTTGGGCTTTTTTTTTTTTTTATAGCACAAAAAAAAACGCACAGGAGATCAAATAACACTGAAAGAAAGTTCAATTTGTGGGAAAAAAAGCACGTACATTTCATTTGGGTGTAGCGTTGCATAACCGCTCAATTGTCAGTTAAAGTGATGCAGTACCAGAACCCAAAAAAAAGGCCTGGTCAGGAAGGGAGGTAAATCCTCCGGAGGGCAAGTGGTTAAGGCAAAAAACATATTTCTTATTTTATTTTTGATATAGTAAGTAAGTAGCTCAGGGACAGGGCGCAGGAGGGCAGGAGGCACACACATAAAAAATTGACTCTCACAGTGACAGTGACAGCAGTGTGCAGCAGCACAGATGATGATGAGAACTCACCGACATGACACGTCCCATTCTGAGTCACAGTGACAGTCTATCTTCATGCTAGGTGGTCCCTCCAGTCCACTCCAGTCCAAACAGCACTAAAAGTCCTGCTCCCGGCTTGCTTTGCTCCCATCCTGCAAACCTGCACATGAGGCTCCGCCCACTCCGTTTGTCTCCCTTGCACCATGACATCACACGACATGCCCAGGCACCACCTCATCCAGATCCGCTTCCCGCTGGCACTGCCTGAACACACTGTAGCAGGCACTTGAATGGTCTCAACCATGTGCGCATGCACAGTTCCGTGCTAAGTGTCACAGCTATGTTTCTAACTGGCAATTTTTTCCTGTCACTGGCATTTACTGGCAGGAGAAAATTGCCCATTTTTTTTACTGGCTGTCAGTAAAAATACTGTTGGTTGTGGCAACACTGTAAATATAAAAGGCTGGGTTGATTTAGATATGGAGTAAAGGCTCAATTACCTAACTGTAATGCCTATGTTCAAAAAATGGAGCAGAGAGTATTAATCAGTAGCTTAATTGGTGAAATACCTGAAAGCACAACCTCTTTGTCAGGGATGTCAGACCAGCAAGCAGGATGGCTCCCTTTGATGGGTTTCTGGTCAGCATACTGTACTTCACATGCATTGAGGAAACTTGTGCATGCATGTGCGCATCAAGCTCATGCACATATGCATGTACATTCTGTGTGCACATGAGCAGGACTGACCATTTGGAAACTCGGGCACTGCGGGCCCAGGGTCAGTAAGGTGCCCCATGAGATGCCCCTGGTACCTTTTTCCTATGCTTTTTTGAGTTTGGGCAAGGACACAGGGGCCCCATGATACCCTATTGCCCGGGGCCCCATGAGTTGTCAGCCCGCCCCTGCACACGGGCATGCACTCATGCACATCTGTAACTAATGTTGGCACCAGGAGGACTATTTAAACTGAGCCAGTGCGCTGCCTCAGTTCTGTCTCAGCTACAGTGTTCCTGTGCATCTGTGACGTGTTAACGAATCAAGTTACCAACCCGGCTTGTCTTGACTATTCCTGAACTCCACCTGCACCGACCCCCAGCTTGTTTCCTGACCTATGCTTCTACCTGATCCCACTGCCTCTGTATTTTTAATTATTACTGATTCCGGTTTTACTCTGACTATGCTTCTTCCTCTGCACTTGTGCCTGATCCATCTGCCAGTTCCAGACCCGGATTGTCTGACTTCACTTCTGCCTTACCCACTGCTGGCCTGCTCCCTGCAAGCACCTGCTGCCAATGGTTGCTCATCACCTGCTATTGGCCCATGCCTCGCCTTTCTGCTTTGCCAGGGCCAGCTAGCTTCTGCCCAGGGGGCGGACTGACCATTTGGAAACTCGGGCACTGCCCGAGGTCCCAGGGTCAGTAGGGGGCCCCATGAGATGCCCCTGGTACATTTTTCATAGGCTTTTTTGAGCTTGGGCAAGGACACAGGGGCCCCATGATCCCCTATTGCCCGGGGGCCCCATGAGTTGTCAGTCCGCCCCTGCTTCTGCCCTCTTCTCAGCTGTCTCTATCCAGCTCATCCAGTACACCATTAGCTTCCTGCTGTTTGAGCTGGACTTCCCACTGCTAGCAAGAACAACCAGCACTAGTGCCCCTCTAGGCTCCTGCGCTGCCTATCTACTCTATCAGGGGCCCCGAGTAAGAGATGTAAGAGAAGCCTACTGCATCATATCTTCTCTTCTACCAGTCATGTGACCCTGTATTTGTATTGGAAGGGTCCTCTCTCTGTTTTAGAATGGAAGTCTCAGCATGGATTCTTCGAGCAATAACATCTCATCAAATATTTCTGTGTTATTGATTGCTCTCTGTTTGCTATAGTTAAGATCCACACATCACAATTATTGTTAGTTAATGTTTGGTGGATAACGAAAATATTTATTTTCTCCCTTTCTCTTTTATTTGTCACTTTGTGATCCAAACTGTAATCCGTGTTATTCATCCATTGAGTATTTCTCGTAAATAGATGGATTGCCTGATCACAAGATGTGGAGGGTCCTCTTCCTTTTTCCTACTTTTATGGTGCCAAGCAGCCTTTAAAGAGAATGTTGTGCTGAAACCCGTACACATGGAAATACCCACATAAAACCCACCTGACTAGCCTCAGGTGACACAAAGAGATAATAAACAAATTCTCCTATATAGGTTGGGCTTGTCTATTTGTAGTCTTTTCTTTTCTACATCCATTTAGTGATTAATTTATAAATCTTATCTGATGGAATTCAGAAAAAAGTCAAAATGCAGGGGGTGGAGAGCTGAAATTTAACTCTGCAGCATGACAGCCAGTAAGGACGGAGCTCTGAGAGCTGATTGGAGCGAAGGGAAGAGCACACACACCCTCTGCACACAGGTCACAGGTTAAACAGAGCTGAGGCTGTCAATTAAACAAATTCTCCTATATAGGTTGGGCTTGTCTATTTGTAGTCTTTTCTTTTCTACATCTGCTGGAAAGACACACACCCTCTGCACACAGGTCACAGGAACAGAGCTGAGGCTGTCAATCTGCTGGAAATCACTCCCTTGTCAGCATTTTTCTCTTGGTGTCAGGAAAACTTGCCAGAAGTGATTCATGCTGATAGCAGAGGAATGAGGCAACAAACAGAAATGACACTTAGTGCTCTTAACTGAGACAAGCACACACTATAAAGGCATGTTTCATGTCTGAGGTTTACATCCATTTTAATGATGCAGGGAGTGTCTGACAGGGTACTTCAATAAATGTAAGTGTAGGGTGCCTTGGTGACATTCCCCCCAAGGGGCAAACCCATGACACTCTGAACTCATGGGAACTGGGATAATTGATACTAGACACCATTTAGTTTGGAAGATGAATGTTGCTGGACTTTGGAGCAGTAAGTCTACAGAAGATAGCACTGGAGAGGACAAGAGTATTGCAGCAAAAGCTGCCTAATGATTTTTTTTTTATAATTGTTGGGCTAGCATTCCATAAATTAAAAAATTGGAATTAATTAAAATCCTGTTAGTCAACCTTAAAGGATAAGTTCACCTTTACACAAAAAATAAATGCACATTTTTTTACCTGTAAAAAAATGTGCATTTATTATTTTTTGTGTTAACCTCCCTGGCGGTATTATTATTTCTGATTTTTGGTGCTGAAAGCGGTACCATTTTTTTGCATGGAAATATGTATTTTTTTTATTGTAGGCCTGTAATTCTTAGGAATAACTCACTGAAATCTATCCGAACAAGAGTCTAGTAAACATCCGCAGGTAGGATAAAACTTGAAATACAAAATCATAAATTATAATTTAATAAATAATCATAAAAAATAATAATATAATAATAATAAATTTAATTCAATAATATAATCAAACCAAAAACACTGAAATTTGAAATATAGTGCCAAGTTCGCACATCACTGAGCAAAGTCGCAAAATCATTTTCAGTGTCTGATGCCGAATTTTCCCACAAATCATTATCACTCAATTCTGCAAGTGATTCTGATTTACTATCGCTGTTCTCTAGCCGGTCTAAAACCACTTTTGACTTAAAGGGATGCTTTTTGGACGCCATGGACATTTCTCAGTTTCCAGGCAGAAAGAACAGTAAAAATGAAGGCAGGGCACAGGACAAAGCACTAGGACAAAATGTATGTGAAATGGTTTGATACAGTAATGTTTTACTATGTGATTTTAGTGTATTTAGTGAATGTCACTTTTTGTCATTTTCAAATTTCCCGCCGTTCCCCTCTCGTACCTCTCGTAGAGGACGGAACCCAGATGACAGATGCCGGCATCTGCCGGATTACATTGCTGGGGACACTGCAGGAGGGACATCGTGGGAGCTCAGGACAAGGTAAGTGACCGAGGAATCGCGGCAGCGCCACATGCTAAGCCCGAGTGTAGCTTGGGGTTACCGCTTGTGGTACTGAAACTTTACCCCGAGCTACACTCGGGAATACCACCAGGGAGATTAAGGGAGATTAAGAGCCTCTAAAGCAGATTGCTGATGCCATGTAGATCTCCAGCGGACTCTCATGTGTCTGCTTGCTCGTACATCCCGTACAAGCAAGCCAATACTTCTGACAGGAAGAATCAATGAACTACCATAGTGCTCCACTGCACCGTGGTAGTTCACTAAGGACTACAAGCTGAAACCCGCTAAGGCTGTTGGGACTTGTAGTCCCAGTGATTGCTTGCCACCTGTACATTAAGCCCATCCTTGAAATTTCCTTGCTACTAAATATTCTAAGCTCAACTGTTAGTGGTATTATAACAAAGTGAAGCAACTGGGAACAACAGCAACTCAGCCACGAAGTGGTAGGCCACGTAAAATGACAGAGCGGGGTCAGCACATACTGAGGAGCACAGTACATAGAAGTCGCAAACTGTCTGCAGAGTCAATAGCTAAAGACCTCCAAACTTCTTGTGGTCTTCAGATTAGCACAACAATGCGTAGAGAGCTTCATGGAATGGATTTCCATGGTCGAGCAGCATCCAAGCCTTACAAACACCAAGTGCAATGCAACGCGTCGGATGCAGTGGTCTAAAGCATGCCGCCACTGGATTCTAGAGCAGTGGAGACGTGTTCTCTGGAGTGATGAATCACGCTTCTCTGTCTGTCAATCCGATGGACATGTCTGGGTTTGGCGGTTTCTAGGAGAACGGTACTTGCCTGACTGCATTGTGTCAAGTGTAAAGTTTGGTGGAGGGGGATTATGGTGTGGGGTTGTTTTTCAGGGGTTGGGCTTTGCACCTTAGTTCCAGTGAAGGGAACTCTTAAGGCATCAGCATACCAAGACATTTTGGACAATTTCATGCTCCCAACTTTGTGGGAACAGTTTGGGGATGGCCCCTTCCTATTCCAACATGACTGCGCACCAGTGCACAAAGCAAGGTCCATAAAGACTTGGATGAGTGAGTTTGGGGTGGAGGAACTTGACTGACCTCAACCTGACAGAACACATTTGGGATGAATTAGAGCAGAGACTGCGAGCCAGTCCTTCTCGTCCAACATCAGTGCCTGACATCACAAATGAGCTTCTAGAAGAATGGTCTAACATTCCCATAAACATTGTGGACAGCCTTCCCAGAAGAGCTGAAGCTGTTATAGCGGCAAAGGGTGGCCCAACTCAATAGTGAACCCTACGGACTAAGATTGGGATGCCATTAAAGTTCATGTGTGTGTAAAGACAGGCGTCCCAATACTTTTGGCAATATAGTTTTTATATATATATATAGAGAGAGAGAGAGAGTCATTTAGGGTATAATGTTTAAATGTTTTAAAAAATTATATTTTCCACTACTTATGTACTGATGGAAGTTGAACTTCTGTTTCTTCCTTTTGCCATTAATACATGTTTCAATCTTTAAAATTGTCCTGCTGACAATTTAAAAAAAAGGAAGTTAGATTTCAACTAACAGTTATTATGGTGAGAGCGAAAATAAAGCACCTCAATTAAACAGAAAAAAAAAAAAAATGAGCAGCTGAGTGATATGGAAATTAAGAGTACTAGTTTAAATTACCACGAATTACCTGGCTTGCCAGTGGGTCAGGCCTTCAAGACCATAGTGGACCACAGCACCCGCTGAGTTTAATGACATGAAAATTTTGAGCACATTCATGCTTTGAGTGTTCTTTTGATCTGCATAGTAGTCAATGTAAGTAAAAGTTACATTCTTTTAGAAATAATATAGCAGTAGTACATGTGATATAGAAGAAATGGGTCTCTGACTGGGGAAAAAGAGCTAAATCACAGACCAAAATACATTTATCCAGAAAAAAACCCAGGCTAGAGATCAGGAAAATTACAGCCATGAGCCCGTGTAATTGTTACTTACGTAAACGCACAATGAAAATTCCTAGATGCGCTCCCACTTTGTTGTCAATGGTTTTCAAATATAATGGAGCAGTGCTAAAGATAGTAGCACAGATCAGATAGATTTTTATACAGCTATACATTTCTTTTTTTTAAAGAGACTACAAGGTGTCTTTAAAAGAATATATGATTGTATTATCAGCTTTGGGTCTACTGTACAATAAGATTGAATCAAATGCAAGCAAAATATAACCTACAAGATTTTTTTCATTTGGATACATTCAGCAAGAGTTGCAAAATGAACTATAGTTTTTTTTAGTGTTTTTTGGCCTATATATGAAAGGGATCCACCTAAACAGAACTATCTACCCTTAGCTCAGGCATGAAGGCAGGAGGGTGTGCTTAGCTGAGCTCCCCTCCTCTATATGAAATAAAAAAAAGTCCATGAAGACTCCAGGGATGTATGACTATCACCAGGAAGCAACTGAAGAAATGTAAAAAAAAAAAAAAAAACAGCTTAAAAAATGTAATATTAATATACACTCATATATATTTGCTAAAGCTAGCAGCAGAAGCTTTAAAAAGATTAATGTTGATTGAGAGAGTTTAGTTCCACTTAAAAGAAAAAAATAAAATGTCACATTAACCTGGGGCAAGAAATGGAATTTCATGTAATATCAAATATCAGTGAGTGTTTTTTTGTATAATATCTTCTTATTGATTTTCTAGCATGATTTAACAATATACATTTACAAATACATACATTTATCAGATCATAAAAAAACAAAAAAAAAAAACAAACAAACAAACACACAAAAAAGGAACAAAATAAATAAATAAATAAAAAGGGGGGATAAAATACAATAAATACCACCTTGCATTCCACACACACAATTTAACACAATTTCCCTGTAAGTGCACCCTACAGCAGAGAAAGGGGAATATACAGTATACCTTCTCTCTGAATTACATCTGTAAAGAACATTGGATCCATGTAGCCATGTTTTATGGATTTTTTTGTAACTCCTTTTACACTTACGAACCCAACATTTGGTCTCCATAATCCTATCCACCTCTAACCTCCAATCAAGTAATGTAGGACATTTGTCACTCATCCAATATCATGGTATAAGACTTTTAGTTTATCTAAAAGGAAAGGTAATACATAGTTCTTCTATCTTTTGACTGAAATTGCTGTACTATGAAATAATATTTGAAGAGGACCATTACTCACTGGCAGAAATTATATTCAATGTATCCATATTAAAAAAATTTACAATTTTCCTAAAAAAATATTTTACAACAAAAAAAATTAACGCAACAGTTTGCATCAAGCTTTTTAAGTTATGACAATGTCTGGTGAAATTAAGTTGAAGCAACAAACTACATTGCATTGAGGTAATTAGCTTTTCTGATAGAAATGAATGCATTTTTATTTACCGCCAACTTAATTACTGGCATTATAAACACATGTTTTTAAGTTGAGTACTTAAACATATTAAGTTAATTCAAATAGTTTTTCCAGTTTTTATAAGAAACCTTCAAGTCACGTGTACTTAATTGCTACAATTATGAGCAAGTTTTTTAAAGTTAAAAAGCAGTTAAAAATCAAGTTGATCCAAATTGATTTTCTGTATTAGTTTTTAGCTTTGTTTTTTTTATACTAGCTTTCAAAAATGAATTAATCAGTTTAGGCTTACACTAGAATGTGTTGCAGAAACCCCGCAATCTTTGTGCATTTTCGCGCGCACCGCATTCAAATCGCACTACTACCCTTGCAGTCGGCAGTGGATGTCAGTGTTGCAAACACAGTGCATTTGCCGGCACCAGATTGCATGGTACAAAACAAAACATGCAATCTGGTTGCACTGTGGTTCAAAAATTGGTGCATGCATGTCTTTGGTGCGATGTGGTGTGATTTGAGCTCATTCAAAATGAATGGGCTCAAATTGCATTACACTGAACCACATGTGAATTGCACAGGAATGTGTTGCAGTTCCTTTGTGATTCACATGCACTTCATTGTGTGAACCAAGGCCCAACAATCCAATTGTTAAACAATTGACATTTTTTGCACACCAAAATCAAATCCTTAAAGTTGTACTGATGAATGAGTAAGCACTTTGCATTAAGATTTTTTTAATATTGTCTGTCTGGTGCAGAAACTGTTTCTCTACAAGACCTTTGCTATATTGTGCAACAAATTGTGGCAATATAGTGAAGCTATCGGAGGATATTGAAAGTTGATATTTTGTGAGCTTTCTTACAATTTGCTATATTCTTTCCGCATTACCCTGCGACAACCATTTTGTGAACTGAAATAAAAGTGAAAAATGTCATCTGAGTATGACTGTGCTATGGAACACATACGTTCTTCAGAGAATACTGTACTTGAGACCCATTACTTTAGCACTGGCTTTCAGTCCATCAAGTTCAAGGAACAGTTTTTGAAACAACTGAGACTTGATTTGTGTTAAGTGAATGGGGGTGGAGACTTGCAATGCAGCTCTCAATGTAGAGCAAAATTAAGTTACCAAGTCAATTTATTAAGGTACCTTAACTTAAATTTCATTGTACAACAATGAATGCAGAAATGTAACTGTACATGACACACAGTATTAAGTTGATGTAATTTCCAACATTATCATTTCAACACAACTCATGAAAGTAGGTTTTTAAATGAAAAAGTTTATTTAAACCAATAAATTAGGATTTTTATCTTGGAAATACACATTTAATTAAGTGGTGGTAACAGGTCGCTTGAGTTATTTTTTAGAGTGTGGGACATTGCCACCATGTATGCATAAGTATTCTGGGAAGAGAACAGCCTCTCCAACAATTTGGTGAACACCCCTGACTCATGTGTGCTAGTTTAATTGGGGCTCTATACCTCCTAGAGACAAATTTGTAACTTAATTCTTACATTTTTGTACTAATGGATGTAGAGAGAGTGAGGGTGAAGATTTTTAACCTATTACTAATTGGAACTTCTTGTTCTAATTCTCTCTTCTGCTCACTCCAAAACGGTAATTCCTCAGGTATATACAGTTGTGCTCATATATTTGCATACCCTGGCAGAAATCGTGAAATTTAGGCATTTGTATTGAAAATATTATTATTATTATACAGGATCATATATAGCGCCAACAGTTTCCATGA